TGATTAATCCTTGCCCACAAAACTTGAAATGATGCTAGGAAAGAAGAAGAAGAAGAAGAAGTGGCATTATAATATTTGACCATCATCTCTTCGAAATTGGTTAATTAGCCACGAGATAAATCAGCCAGAGTGTAGACTTTTAGTAACAAAAATTTTAGTGAGTTTTATTTTTTTGAAGGGGCACAAGAGAGATTACATTGCCTAATTACGTATTTTGCTAGGACTTATTTATTCATTATTAAAAAAAACAAAATCAATAGCTTGGTCAAGGGAATCCACAGAAGCCGTAAGGAAAGGGAGTTTTCATAAGACAATTATCACTGATTATGAACCCGAACCTATATCTTGATTTTAGTTTCTTTCAATTGCATTTAAAATATATATATATATATATATATATATACTGGAAAATATTAAAGAAATAATAAGAAAAAAACTTGAAAAGTAACCAATAATTGAATCTCAGTAATCTAACAAGTTTTTATTAGTAATAATTTTTCTTAATATTTAATATTACTTATACCAATAATATAAAGAAGAGAGATCTCTGAGTACAGCAAAATGGTATATAATATTTGTAAGGTCACCCTAGCTATCTGGATGTACATACGAGCTAATTAGAACACTGCGAGATGGGCGGTGTGTAGAAAAAGCAGGAAAAGTAGTCATCGGTTAAACTCTGTTTCGGGTCACAGGGCTATAGTCTTTTTAGACCACCACCTTAGAGGAGACAATTAGAGGTTTAGCAGAGACCAGCTTAGAGGTCACGAATGCTGACATATCCTTTATCTTTCATAGGACAGGCCTATTAGGTGTCTCTCTTCTTAACCCTTTTTCTTAACTCTCGATCCATTGGGTTCTTTGCTGCCTCCACCTTTTTCTTTTCTTGCCAATTCCATTTAAATATCACTACTTTAGCCGATCTGCCATTTAAGATCCTGTCATCCAACAACAACAACAACAACAAGATCACTAGACCAATCCCAAATTCCCTTTCAAACCCTACCCACCAAAAAAAAAATATCTCTTTTTTTTTTTTTTTTAATTCTAAACCCACCCTCAAAGAGAAACAAACATTCCAGTTGTATATTGTTGCTTTTGAGGAATTAATGTTATTTTTATGTGCTCAAAAAAAGCACTGTTCCACACCTCTAATCTTGTTCAAGACACATACTATGTTTGCATGCATGCATGCACACGTGGCACCTTGGTTAGTGATGTACATTATTATTATATTTATTAGAGGTAGATACGATATTCTGCTTAATTAGTGCTTTTTCATACCTTGGAAAAGAGGAACAAGACCAAAAGGGTCCCACCAAATCCAACGAGCCACATAACATCATGATTAGCAAGCATGTCTCTAATGGTGTGTATATTTTGCGTGGATTCATGCGGTTTTGTTTGGGAGGCGGTTGATCCTTTTAATTATTTTTGGGTTGGCATGATTAAGCAAATCCCAGAGTTTCCCATTGAAAAGAGTATAAACAGATTTCCTCATTAATTACTCCAATTTATAGGCATTAGAGCAAATGTCCGTCTCCACCAAGGACCACCACTCCCCCTCCATTGACCGTGTAAGCCAAACCCCACAAATTATGCTCACGTTTGGATTTTTCTTTTTTTCCAAAAAAAAAAAGAAAAAAGAAAAAGAATCCTTGGTCGTAAATGATCTATGTTACGATTTTGTGTTTCAAAGAACACGCCTTTTCCAAATATTTATACCAATTTAAATATGGACGATGATGATGAAAATTAATTAGAAAGTGCACTTTGAGATCGGCATGAATCCTTAAACTCGACTCAAGTGGTAATTGAGGTTTTTTTTTCTTCTCAAATTATTATTTTTTTAAATAAAAGATTATTTCGAAAGAATGTATTTTTTTATAAATGCATCATAGTACATTTTTAAGATTAAATTTTAAATAATTTAGTTTGGATACATGAAAATTGGCTATAAGAATTTCTAATAGTAGCTAAGTAGACAAAAGATCAAGTCATGGAAGTGATTTACTCAACTATTAAATGAAATTAAATAAAAAAGTAATGCTAATATCAATTAAAAACACATACCAACCATTGGATTAATAAAACCTTGTCTTGAATCCGATATCTCATAATTTTTTTTAAAAAAATTTCTTCTTCTTTTAACATGTAGCACTTTTTGTAAATTAAATAAACATATCAACATGGATTAATTTGATAAAAAAATACTTTATAATTAATTAAAAACTAAATATATTTTGACATGAAATTAATAAAAAAATAATAAATTTAATATCAATTTATATAAAAATTAATATGAAAATATCGATTCATAGTTTTGTTATGTTGTGGACGGTGTTAAGGCGTAAAGAAGGGGCGTGGATATAGAGAAAATAATTAACATGTGTAGCGACAATGTAACACATGTATAATAGCATAATGTCTTGGGCTGATGGCAATATATGAGTAATAATAGTTATATCATGGTTTTTAAGTGGAGAAGGGGGAGGAGGAGGAGGGTGTTTTCTTTTTTTCGTGGTTTACAAAGCGAATAAGAGGAGCATCTTTTGGAAAGCGGTGGTCGTCCCATTTGTCGAACTATTAAGTCACCAATCTCTAGACGATCTGATTCTCTCTCTCTCTCTCTCTCTCTTCTGTCTGTCTTCATGTTTTTTTGAATCCTTTGATCGAGTTGGGGTACTCGATATTCCAGAGGAGTTTGTTCTGTTTTGTGCCATGATAGTTGTGGGGTCACTTTATTTTATTTATTTTTACTTATTAGTATAGTATTATATTTTTCTTTTACCTTTTGAGTTTCCATCTTTGACCCAAGATCTATGATCTCGCCCACACACTTTCTTTCTTTCTTGTAGTACTAAGCTAAGTAGAAGAGTTGTTGCTTTGATGATTGCAGAGTATCTGATAGGGATCCCTTTATCCCTCTCTCTTTACTTTCTTTTCCTCTAACCAAAACTTCAGGATCTTCTACTATCTGTCTACTAGAGATACCGATACCATTGTGTCACAGATTAATTATCACGTATATCTACTAGCTAGCTTTTTGGGTGTCTGTTGAAATTAAATTTCTTTCCAATCGAGTGTTCTTAGAGTTTTTTTTATTTTTATTTTTTTCCTTAATGGGATGATAATGAGAGGGTTTATACTTTACGGAGAGGAACACATGCATGAGAGGATAATAATCATGAAATATTTTTTGTTTGGTTTCGAAGTTCACGTGATTCCACTGGGAAATAGGGTACGGGTAGGGATGGATTGCTAGGAAGTAATTGAAACTGGTTGTTTGATGGGGTCAGTCGTCACGCATAGCATGGATTGATTATAAGATTGACGGATTGGATGGCCTATAACAACTTACGGTGTATTGAAAGAGATGTTAAGAGTAGTGTAGTCATTGTTCTGTTGAAAAACATATCATGCACTGACACATGATTGAGAATATTACATCACTCCAATCGCTTCATGGGATTTGATAAACACCTTTCAATCCATTTCGTGATGCTAAGAATCCAAATTGTATGCGTACAGAATTTAATCTAGTTTAGTTTCTTTCCTTCCTTTCTGTCCAAATTGAAATAGAAACAGGTTGCTTAGCAACAGTAGTTAGCAAAGAATGAGGTACCAAGCTGGGACAGCAAATTTTCTTAGTACAAGGACGTGACTTGTGAGTGGTACGTAGTAGAGCCCCAAGAGGAATCATCGTGGGTCATGCAAACTTTATTACACTAAGCTAATGTAGCAATTAAGGTTAATTACAGAAAGGCAGATGTTTTACAGTGTTAATTAATGATTGCAATTGGAGCGTGGTGAAGAGAGTAAAAGGGAGGCGAGTGAATGTAAAATGTGGGACTATTCCATTTTCCTTGGGAGGCTGGCAGTCCAGTGCAGTGACAGAGGCAGAGAGAGAAAGAGAGAGGCAGAGATACGGATACGGACAGAGGTTTTTTTGTAATAGAGAGAGGATTACTTAGCAAAATAGAGGAGGGGTCCTCGTGATCGGAGAAGGCAGATCCATGGAAGACTGTTCCCGCTAGTCACGTGGGTTCTTTTGACTACCCAATGACCAACCCATCTGCCTCCCTCTCTCGCATTGTTAAGAGCGCCCTAATATCTCACCAATCTCTACATGCCATAATCTCTCTTAGCCCTATAAATTTCAATTCCAAATTGAACTTCTTCGAAGAGATGGTAAACCTGTATACCACTTAAAAGAAGTAGCAGCAGTAGTAGTGTACTAGCCACACTTGCACTTTCTCTCATAACTTAGCTAACATCTGTATGAGTGATTTATAAGCTGACTCTTTGTGTGTTTTGGAGATTTTTGTTTCTCTCTTTTGCAAGAAGCAAGATTGGGTCCATGTCTGTCTATATGTCTTTATAACTCTTTTTACTATATACGTATATGTTATCTTCATTTGCATTTGACGACAACGTGGACCGCAGGTGCTGACTGGTATTTCACCATTTTATTAGCTTATAAAGCTACCAGACAATACTTCTTCACACACCCTCGTTCTCTCTCTCTCTCCCTCTCCCTCTCGTACCATATATTGAGCTCTCTCTTCAAAGTTTTTTCTCTTATTCAAACACTATATTATTGCATCTTTCTTACTCTTGGGGATTCACTGTTTTGGCTTGTACTCTTTCTCTGTCACTTGCTAGCTACCCTCTAACTATAAACCTGCCATATTCCCCCACTTCTTCATCGCCTTACTCTCCCATTACTCTTTTCTTTTTCTTCTCTCAGTCCTGCAGAAGCGCAAAAAAAAAAAAAAAAAAAACCTTGTTCATCTTTCATTTTGGCACCAACCCAATTCATCTTTTGCTAGAAATTGATTGAAGAATTTGAGAGAGAGGGGATCATGATGCATAGGTGTAGTAGTTCTCACTGTAATATGGTTGGTCCTTGTTCATGTGGTACGTATCATAGCCAAAACAACTCCTTCTCCATGCTATTTTCCATGCCAAACCATCACAAATCTTTTGATGAAACAGACATGTATCCTTTCACGTCCCCTTCATCTTCTGTTGATTGCACTCTTTCGTTAGGAACCCCATCTACTCGTTTAAGTGAAGATGATGAGAAAAGAATTCGACATGATCAGCACCGTTCTGGTTCTTGCATGTCTAACTTTTGTTGGGATATTTTGCAAACCAAAAGTAATTCTACTCCTTATCCACCTCAAGCCCACAAATCTAGCCGTGGAAATAATAACACCAGTCATAATAGCAGTAACAACTTGGCCAATAATGATCCTCTCCTTGCTCGCCGATGCGCTAACTGTGACACCACTTCTACTCCTCTTTGGAGAAACGGTCCAAGAGGCCCTAAGGTATTGATTAATTCTATACCCTATTAGATACAATTAAATGTTTGTATTTATAGCAAAATTTAGTCCTCTTTTTCGTTGTTGTAAATTTAGATTTTAAATGTATGTGTGAATTGCAGTCACTTTGCAATGCGTGTGGAATTCGGTTCAAGAAGGAAGAGAGAAGGGCAACGGCCGCAAATGCAAGCAATGGAAATGCAAATGCCTCGGGAGGAATGGAGCAGCACTACGGCTATCATCAAAACAATTCATGGGTTCAGACCCAAAAAATGCCATGTTTCTCTCCAGCTAATGAATTCAGGTTCACAGAAGACAATGATCGAGATTCTGATACTGGCAATAATATTCCATTCATTTCTTGGAGACTCAATGTCACAGATAGGCCTAGCCAGCTTGTTCATGACTTTACAAGATACTGAAAAAATCGATGGAGTACAAAAAGCAAAAGAAAGAAAGAACGGTCAAGATCATGAAACATTGGCAAGTGACTTCAAAACATAAAACGATGTTGAAGATGTTGGTGATGTCGATGTCGATGGTTATGTTAAATGGACCACATAGATAATGGTCTCTTGGGAAATTCTTTTTCTTCTTTGTTTGGTTTTATTTCTTTCCTCTTTTCTTTAATTTCCTTTTCTCCGTTCTCACATGGATGGAGTGAAAACGGGATAATTCTATGTTCTTAGTTGCTTTTCTTTTAGGTCTATCTCCTTAGCTCTCTTTAACCTTTTTTTTTCCCTCTTTCAGTTACATAAAACCTTTCTGTTACTTCACTTTCACTTCTTTCTCAGGTTTGCTACTCAAATGAGATGTTGATTGACGACCAGGATATAAATATGCAGCTAGCTTTGGAGTTAATTTGATCAAATTTTGTGTAATAGTAATAATAATGTACTAGGTCTGATCTTACATATTTTACTACACTATCCTTTGATCATGTAATGTGAACTGAAGTCTTGCCTGAAAGATAGAAGCTATGTGTTTGGTGGCGTTTTTGATAATTTTCATGGATTTCACAACTGAGAGAGATATTCAACTGATTGTCCAATTACAATGTTGATCAGGGATCAATGTGTTGTTCTGAACCAGACACTGCTTGTTCAGAACATGGACATGGGTTTGTCTTCTTACGATAGTCCCTGTGTTATATTTGACCGTCAAATTGGATTCTAATGCATAAAATTAGACAACCCTGGTGGCATTGTCTGATTTGTCTTTTTCTCTCAGCTTTTTAAAATTGGTTCCATGTCAGTCGATAACTTATAATATTATCGCCTAAAATATTATGTTCCCAGCATTTTTCGATCATTTCAAATCGTATATACTGTGTGTTAATTGGACAGATTAATTCGTTTATATAGCAATTATATTTGTTGTTCTGGTCTTAGCATTTGTTGGCAACGTTCTTATGCAGACCAAGTCTATCTAGTTCAGAACAATTTGATTAGTTGATGCAGTCGCAATCTTGTTGATTTTTTTGTAATCGATTTAGTTTATATTTGGATTATTTTAGGTTGAAGTTCTGATTTTTTTCCCCTCAATTATTGGGTCATAATATTGGTTTATGTGGCAATTATATTTGTTTTTGTGCTCATAATTTTTGTTGGGATTAACTTAATGTGATTTTGATTCACGTCAACTAGAAAAAAAGGCAGGAGCAAGATCAGTTAATTAGGAATATAGTTTTAAATTGCCAACGATTGAAAATACGTTCGTAATCGTTTTCACGAATCTTTATAAATTATAATTTATTATAATATTAAAAAAAAAAAAATATTTTAAAATTATTATATATCGATCGTTATATTATTATTATTATTTAAACCTATGGCTAAGAAGGGTAAATGGTGAGAGTTCTAGATTCCAAAATCTTAAAAAATGAGATCATGGGTAGTAGTATGTTTCTTAAAGGTGTGTGTACAAGTTAAATAATATTAGTAGTAATTCAAACGATCGATCTGATATACTTTTCATGTGATCTATCAGTCAAAGTATTATAATCCTAGTGGACATTAAAAAAGTACAGTAAATGAGACAGACAATGTGTTGTAGAGGCACATAAGACTTGGATTTCAACATTTACGAGGATGGAATTATTGTCATGTGCTTCACAGTGTCTTAAACAATGTCGAGTCTTGAATCCAGAACCAACCTTATAAAAAATTGGTAGACAAAACCCCTCCTGGTTTCTTAATTATCTATAGAATTAATGAGATTGCAAGGATTAATCTCTTATGATCAGTTTGATTCGATTCGTTCTCTCTTTTTGGGTATTCCACAGCTAAGTCTTAGCTAGCTAGGGTTGGACCATCAAAATCAAAAAACATGTCTTCAAAAAAAAAAAAAAATTGCAAATGGATTTGGAAGGGAAGGAAATATTTTTAGCCCCATTTCCTCTTTATTTCTTAAAGATGTCCCACCTCCAAATTGAGGACTAAATACATTAGAAGGAAATGGAATAAATTTATAATCTTTTTTATTGTACTACAAATTATAATCCTACAATTTTTTTGGACAACTCTTCATCAGTATGCATGTAATCTTCTAATAATGGAAAGGGAAGAGAACCTTTTAATCCCTTCCCATTCTCTACATTTTTCTAAACGTCTCACTTTAAAATTGAGTTAAAATGGAGGGAAATCTGGAATAACTTCTCAACTTTTTGACCGAATAGTTTTATTATTTTGAATTAATACACTCATTTATCCTTAAATAATAAGTTAAATTTCCAATATATCTGTTCATAAATTTTAAAACGTATCTAATTTATATATGCTATTTAAATTGGTTTTTAATTTATTTTTTTATCAAATTAAACATGTGATTTACACATAGTATACGATTTGATAGAATTATTTTTATTATATATATGATTTTCCTCGTGAAATCGTGAACAGTCCATTAACACTAACTTTGAGGTCTTACTGTGATATATATTTGATTTTCTATAATTCCGACATGAATTTAACTTTTATCAGGTTAGAAAAATATATATGTTTATACAGGTGGTAGTGACGTTTCTAAAATATTTTTGGTTGAAAGTGAAAACATCGTGGATTGGAGAGGTTTTCCAAGAATAGTCCTGATTTTTTAACCATCAATAAATCGAGGGTAAGTTGCAGGGAAGATGTGTTGTCCAAGTTATTTGTTTAACTCTTCTCGAAGGGTTAGGCAACTGCACACCACTTCAACTTTCAGCTAGCGATAAGCTGGCTTCGTTAGTCTTTTTATACGTTAATAATGTTTTATTTATAAGAAAAATGTTAGTTGAGTAATAATAAGCTGGATCTTATGCTCATTTTTTGTCGATGGACAAAATTTAAATTTTGAAATCGTTTTTGTTGAAAAAAATTATATTTTATCGATTTCATCTTAAATAGAATTAGTTATACTTTCAATGTAGAAATAGAATTGAGTAAAATCGAAAAAAATAATATTTATTTATCTTTCTTGAATAATTATTAGTTCTATTAGGAGTTTTGGGTGTATGTGTTGAGTGTGTAAGTTATAAAAAAAACAAAAAAACAAAAATTACTTAAAATAATTTCGAATTTTCCCTTCCTTTCCCCCTCTCATTCTTTATCATGATGTTTTTAAAATAGGTATCCTTAAATTTACCGATCAAATTGTTGTTCCCACCATTTTTTTCAAAAATTACCAATACACCCTTCATTAGTTTTTATTATATAATAGTTATTGATAATTAGTGAAGGATGCATTGGTAATTTCCAACAAAAAATGACGAGAATAATAATTTAATTGGTGAATTAAGAGTACCCTTTTAAAATATTTTTGGTTGAAAACACATTTATAATTTTAAATTTTGTAATTAAAATTCAATATAGGTCCCGGAAGCTTTCTTTCGTTTAGCTATTGTAAAAATTATTATTAGCAGTATTTCCTAGCTATTGATTCTATTATTTAAATTTTTTTAAAAAAAATTCATTTAATTAACATATTAATTAAAAAAAAAAAAGAATAATCCAGAATTTACCAAATAGGAGCCCTGCCCATATATGTGAATATCAATGGGCTCAACCCAGTCTTTCATATTGAGTTATGGGTCATCCCTTGCACAGCCCTTAGCCCGGCCATATGCACAGACCCAATTTAGACAGTCATCTCCGGCCTTTAGTCCATAAAAGATTTTTTATTTATCCATTATTTTTCATTCATTACATTATCTAGCCTTTTCTATTTCAAAACAATAATCTTACAATTTCTTTTTCGAAATTTTTTTTCTTGATGTTTTCTAAAATAGGTTAATTGGGATGTTAGGACATCTAAAAAAGATGATCCTAAATCATGATTGATTTACTTTATAAGTTTTTTTTTAAAACAAAAAGAGAGATAAAAAAAAATTACCTCTGAATTCACAAATATTTTCACTTAAATTTATTTTTTAATTTTTTCTCTTTTATTTCACTATCTTTTATATGAAATAATTATTATTAATTACTTATCAAATAATATAAAATTTCTCGTATAAACTCTTTATATAAAGGCAAATCTTCCAAACTTATTATTTTTCTTTTTCAAAAAAAAAAACTTGTACGTCTGTGTCTTTGATAAAGGAAATCGCTACTGTAAATTTATGGTTATAATACTAATCCTGTAATCCATCGTCTCTTTAATTAGCTGTCCTTCTTTCCTTGTTGGACCATGGATATTGCAAGATCTTTTGTTTCTCATAGATATCAATCAGCGGATTATTGCACTATAAGTATTTTAATTTTTAACTTTTTTTCTCTACAATATATGAATTTTATTTTTTTTTATTTCAATACATCAATTTTTTAATAAAAAATTTCAATTAAATATTTATGTCAATTTCTTCATCATCTGATGAAGTGTTATTTACTCTTAGAATCCGAAATTATACTTTTTTTTCTTAATCGAATATATGAAATTTATTTTTTTTCGTTTGAATACATTGATTTTTTTTAAAACTACCAATAAAATTATAATTTTTGTCTCTTTTTTTTTTTTTTGTTAGGAAAACTATTCTTCTAAATGCTCTCAAATAATAAATATTTTTAATGAAAAATCTTAAGTTTGTATTTTTTTTTAATTTTCACATCTAAAACTAATTACGTTTTTTTAGCTACGAACCTAATTGTGTTTAGTTCGATATTTCATAATTAAAACATAACTTTTTTTAATTTTTTGTTAAATTTTGAAATAATAGAATAATTTAGGAGAAAATTTTCCTCCAACAAAAAAATAACAAAATTTAATTTGATATTTTAAGAGCAACAAACACTTTATCAATAAAAAAAAATTGATGAAAGTATTTAATTAACAATTTTGAAAAAACCAACATACTTGATTGAAAAAAAAAAAAAAACAAAGCAAACTTAAAATTTGATATTTTAAAGATAATGAATATATCATTAGTTGATGAAAAAATTAATAAAAATATTTGATTGTTTTAGAAAAATAGATATAATCAAACCAGAAAAAATTAAATCAATATACTCTATTGAAAAAAAAAAATTAATAATGTGCACTCGTAGTGTAACTTTTCCTATCAATCAGTCGCTCTTTAAAAAAGCTTTAAAAGTTGGATGCAGATGGCTGCTGATACCTAACAACTTGACAACTTAAAAATCATTTGTTGCTTCTGTTCATCTGACTTTCTTTTGTGAATTTGACTGTTTGGCTGACTGGTTAAGATTTAGGACCAATCAAAATATAGTCTTAGGTTTATAATTTTGAAAAAAAAAACTATTTTTAAGGTCAAAATCAACTTTAAAACTCGATTTTAAGTTCTTTTATGATTCAGATTTGATAAAAAAAATAGATTGTTACTATGTATTAGTAGATTCACAATAAAGAGTAAATTATAAATTAATCCCTCTCGTTTCGCAAAACGAATTAATTAGTTTTTTATTTTAAAAATTAATCATTTATTTCTTTTAATTAGTGTTAATTATGACTAATTTAATATTTTTTATTTTATAAAATTTCTTCTTTTTTCATATTTTTACTTATTTTTTTATTTCTTAAAAAATAATTCAAAATAAATTAAAAAATAGTAAAAAGAACTAAATAATTAGCTAATTTTATGTATATGCTACGCACGCAAGGAGTTAAATGTATATGCTTGATTTTTCTTAAGATTAATTAAGTAATTTAGCTAATTTTATTATATGACAATTCTTTTTTTTTTTTTTTTTTTTGAGATGAGTTCAAACCATGCAATAAATGAATTGAATGGATGAGACTTGCTGAAGATTGGGCCTTGGGGTGTGAAGATAGACATCAGTATTTTGACCAAATTAGTGACAAATACTAGTGTCTTATATTTAGAATGTATTAAAGAGATTGATCTAGCAATTTCGGAGTAAAATATGCTAAAAAAAGTAACAATTAAAAAAAAAAGCCTAATTGTTACTTTTTTTTATTGGTAAGTTGAAGCGAGTTTAGAGTTTAGTTTTAAAAAATTATTTTTTAACTCAAATATGATTGTGAAAACATGGGTGACGTAGAAAGATCTTAACGATTGAGAGTCATCTTAAATTCATTATAAATATTAATTTTACATGATTGTGAGGGGATCTCAACTTTTTTATTCTCTAGCAAAAAACCTCTAAACATCTTTCTAATAAAATCTTTCACTCACACATTAGACAATATTTAAAGCTTTATCCTCTAAATTCATCTCAGTTCGTTATTGATTTATGTCTTATTAGCGTCGTCTGTTCTTTCTTCCACGTCTCTTACTACTTATATCTATTTTATTTGATTAATTGATCGTTTTTTTATATAAGTTATAACACTAATTCTTTATATTTTTATTGATATTTTATCTTTTAAACAATTTTCAAGAACCCCCTCACACAAATTTCTTTTACCAAGTTAGGATTCCTTTTGTTTAGTTATTTTTCCCATGTTGTTTTAGCTTTGTTAATAATGAGTTGCGGTAAATGAGATCCTTATAAAACGCTCATCTATGAGATTGAGAGTTCAAACCTCTCTAGTCGTAGTCTCTTGTTGTTCGCATATTTACATTCTCATACATAATCCTAAGTACCATAGAAAAGATCCTAAGTTTCGATGCGACATTGGTGTAGTAATGGTTTTTTATAAAATAATAAAATGGTGTGATGTGGGCACAATATTTTTTGTCCAAAGGTATGAAGTAGCCTACCTACCCTTCTATTATTGTTCCAGTCTTTTGATTTATTACCATTGTTTTTCTTTAAATCTGTAATTAACTAATAGGAAACTAAATTTGAATTGTTTAGATGGTGACATATGTCCAAGTTCTGTCCCATATTCCGAAACCTCCTCAAATTAACTTCCATGTGGGATACCAGAAATAGAACGGCAAATGTTTGACAGAATTGGATGGATAGGATCAATAATACCACAATACCAAAAGTATGAGGATTAGATTGTGTTTTGTGGAAGCTAGCTTCAAAATGTGCTAAAACTATAATTATCGAGGAACAATAAAAATCTATTATAATTAAACCCATATTCTTAAAAAAAAAAAAAAAAAATTAGTAATACCTAAATTATGGAGAGAAACTTTGACCAATTTACTCTTTTAGCGGTTGGCATGTTGCTACAAGTGAGTTTGTTTCTTTGGACTTGGATTTGATAGAAAAGTTCATCCAAAAGTTGCTTGATCCTCTAAAAATGAAAAGGAAATCCATCAATTGTTTCTAGGAATGTACGTGCATACGCCACTTCAGCTAAGTAGTCAACGGGCTTAGTCAGTAGCTAATTAAGACAATAATAATAATAATAATGATAATGATAATCATAGGACTTGAGACATGAGGTGGAGAGTAGGGAGGGCAGGTGATCAACATCAAACAACTTTTGTCGACGAAGGTTAAAAATAATCAACTTTGAATTATAAAAGAAAGATTTCGTGCAAGAAATTTGCATCAGCAAATTAGCTTTGTCAACCACAAGATCGATATGGGGCCTTTGTCCATCTTCCCTGCCTTTAAAAAAAAAATTCAAGAATTTATAACCCCAAGTTTTCAAATATACTGGATTCTCTGTCAAACACCATCACTTTAGTGACAACAGATAACAACCTAGCACCAAACCATCTTTCCTTGGCAGTTTAAAACCCTTGTCTGATTCCATTCGTTGCTCAGAACTTGCGACAGAGAGAGAAAATACACACACAGAAAGATGGTGAACCTTGTGGCAGCGCAGAAGCCATTGCTGTACGGTCTAATGAAAATGGCAGGAGTGCAACCCCACTTAGTAGAGATTGAGCCAGGCACAGTCATGAACTTTTGGGTTCCAAATGAGACCATCAAGAAACCTAAAAAAGGTGAGAAGAACGAGACCCCAACCTTAACCAAACCAAACAAACTAGTAGTGGTTCTAGTCCATGGCTTTGCTGGTGAAGGTATTGTCACTTGGCAGTTCCAAGTTGGTGCCTTGACCAAAAAGTATTCAGTTTATATCCCTGACCTTCTCTTCTTCGGTGGCTCAATCACGGATAAAACTGAGCGGTCGCCGACGTTTCAAGCAGAAACATTGGCGAAGGGTCTGAAGAAGTTAGGAGTAGAGAAGTGTATATTGGTGGGGTTTAGCTATGGTGGTATGGTGTCGTTTAAGATGGCTGAGTTGTATCCTGACCTGGTTGAGGCCATGGTCATATCTGGTTCAATCCTGGCAATGACTGATTCGATCAGTGAAACAACAATAAGTGAGCTTGGGTTCAAGTCTTCCTCGGACCTTTTGCTGCCTAACTCTGTTGATGGTCTTAAAGCGCTACTTTCTGTTGCTACTTACAAGAAGCTTTGGTTCCCAAATCGGCTTCACAAAGACTACCTAGAGGTTTGTTAATTTGCATCTTCTGTTAAGACTTAATTTGTATTTCTATACGTATTTCTGGTTTCAATTGCCTTCTTGAAACTTGTTATTGTCGATTTAAATAACAACAGTTACAAATATAATATCCATTATATAACGGTCTTGAACATTTCGTTAACGTTATTCGATGTTATAAACACTATGTTATCATTTCGCATAAATGAGAGCGAAAAATGACATTATCATTATGTAATATTGTTATTTTTCCTTATTTATACGGTATATACACCCACGTATACAGCAGTCTTGCCCTTTGTAGTCTATCCACGTAATTTTGTCTTTTTTTCCAGCTTTATTTTTATTCTCATTATTCAACCTTGGCATGCATGAATTTGGTAGGAAAAAAACACCTCATATTTCAACATTCTCACTTTCTGCTAATGCTAATGTAATATGTGATCGTTATTTTACTATCGTGATAATTTATAATTTATAATTGTAATTACGATCAATTTTTTAATTGTGCCGGCGATTTAAAAGCATGTTTGTTATTACCAAAGATCTATTGTCTTGAAGTCTTTATTTTAACAGCTTCAAAATAGACATTTTGCTAGAAAACGTTTGCATGATTCCAATAATGTGATTTTCATGGCAATACAGTATTAACATCTAGGACTGACACAAGATGTTAGGTAGAGCTCGCAGATTGCAATTACCACAATATCAGCACACAAAGTCACCACCCTATACCTCTCTTTTTCTTTTGTTTTTCCTTTTTCGTTTAATGGTAAGGTGATAATGATATTATTATTCAACCAGTAGTAAATTTTAAGCTAGCATGCAATAACTAAAGACTTACAGGTGATGTTCACGAATAGAAAAGAGAGAGCGGAACTTCTAGAGGGATTAGTCATCAACAACAAAGACACCACCATCCCTACATTCGTACAGGTAATTTCAGCAACCAATTTCTCAGATTTTTGCTCTTCCTAATGTATCTGTCTTCATGTGATCACTGTTATTATTCATACATGTTGCAGAAGGTACATCTCTTGTGGGGGGAGAATGATCAAATCTTCAAGCTTGAGCTTGCACAGAACATGAAAGAGTATGTCTTACGACATCTAGAACTCCGTAAATACTAATCACAAATCGATGAATCCTATTGAAAATATATAGTGATTAGCTGATACAGATATGAATGCACGCATATTAAATGGCTTTGCTTTGTGATTACAGGCAACTAGGCGAGAAGGCGACATTTCAGGGCATACAGAAGGCAGGTCACTTGGTTCACCTGGAACGACCGTGTGTCTATAATAGGTGTCTCAAGCAATTTCTTACTTCACTGCTGGAAAATGGTGTGAAGAATTGATAAGACAACCAATATCTGTGTTTTGCCTTCATATTTACCGAGCTTTGTACTACTTGTCTAATTGTTTTACTTCTCCATGATATGCATTTTGGCAAGTAATGTCTATCGTAAGGAAAATATTTTACTGAGATTTTCTCTGTTTATTTTGTTTTTTCCTTTCAACAGAACAAATCAACCCTTGGGGAAATAAAAAAGTAATAAACACATGTACAATTCAATCAATTTTCACAATATGTATATATATATATATATTTCACCCGGACCAGATCAGATATGCTTGAGCAAACACTTTCATCTGAACGACAATTGTATTTCTTCTAGAGTTCTTCCTTTGGTTTCAGGGACCCAGAGAGACACAAAAATGACAGTGAAAGCACTGACCAGCGTGTAAATGGTAAAGGTCCCTGTTGACAGAGCAGTGGTTTCATTAGTTAGATATTAGTATAATCATTGTGTGCAGGGGTCACAAACACACGCTCACACACTACGCAAGAAAGAGGGAGGGAGAAGGAGACCTGCACTGCTCCAACTCATGAGCAAGTTTGCGGTCATTGTTACAATCCAGGATGAAAGCCAATTTGCCAAAGTTGCAACGCTGCCAGCAACGCCCTTGATGTTCGCTGGGAGAATCTGAAATGAGCCATTCAGAAAAATAAGAAAGTAATTCATGAATCATTTTTCACCATCACTGAACACATTAATGAAATTCATAAGCTGACATTCTGACTGTAAGTCCTCACATTCTACAACCAACATTGAACGGGTGGAGGGGTTAAGAGAAAAATCATACCCCTCCACTGGAAGCTGATGGTGGAGAATCATATAATGCACAACTGCATGCATGCTAAAGAATATCCCCCCATGATGAATTAGGAATCCGAGGTACTTGCACTAGGTGTAAGTGACTCTTTTCAGATCATTGATTAGTATCTCTCGGTTTGACCTTAGATGAAATGCAGCCATAATTGCAAACAGATAAAGCATCCAAAATAAAGATACCTAAGTGTCGGTAATTGATTCAACACACTTCTATGCAACAAATCCATTTATCTCACATATAAGACACCAGGCTATTTCCTAAGCCTTTTGTTTTCCTAACTCTTAAAGCCATCACTTTATTGAGTTCGTGAATGCCCAGATGCCTCATCACAAACATTGCAGTCTTGAAAAGGGATTTTAGAGCTTGAAGAACAGTAGGCTGGCATTAGACTGTCCAAGTCAGACAATAACCAATAAAATCACTGACAACTCAGATTCTCCAAGTTCCAAATCATTTAGTTCCGCATAACAAATCTTATGCCCCAGAGAAGCCAAAATTTTCTCTGTGTTAAAGCTAAATATAAAGTAAAAAGTTTCGGATACCTCAGACATTATGATCCAAGGAATAGCTCCAAGTCCTGCTGAGAAGAAAATTACCACAGCCTGCGTAAAAAGAAAGAGAATCCTTTACAAGGAAGGTCACAGACAAGTGTGCGGACATATTCAAAGTAGACAAAACATACCACAAGCCCTGCAAGTGACAGAATTCCCATCATGTGATACAAATCAGAATCTTGTGGTAAAATGCCCTGGTACAAAAAGAAGAACCAGAGAAAATAAGAAATCAAATTTTGGTAACACTAAATAAAGGCAGATGCTTGATGAACAACGAACTTTTAAGTACATAGAATGAAACAAATCATAGACTTTGTAGGATTACGAACCTGCATATAAAAAGCAATGGCAACCAGAAGCAAGCTAAGAGTAATTCCAGTTGTAGATATCTGAGCAAGCGATTCAAATTAGACATCTTTGATACTTTATCTTTTGCCCAAATAAACTAGCATATTTGCAAGAAAAAAAAAAAAGAACTCACAATAAGCAGCAATCTGCGCCCAGCTTTATCCATCAACAACGAACAGATACCAGTGGCTACGACCTACAAAAGAAACAGCTACTTATTATATAATCCAGATAAGAATTTCCTTCAAATGAATGCCTGCAAAAGAAGTTATTCCTTTTTCTTTTCTCGTAAGATTACATCTAAGAGGAAACCTATCCATTCCACTACTCCACCAAGCTAATGCCCAAGGGCAAATGGAATCATGACATAAGTTTACAGCTGCACATCTTACCTGAATAGCTCCAAGTCCAAACGTAGCAAGATTGCTTGAGGAAATTCCTGTCAAGATTATGATGGTTTACTAGATCATCAATTTAATCTATTGGAATATAGGTCACTAGCATAACAATAAACAGAAATGTTTCAAGTGGCCTCAAGAGTAATTCTGGATTCTTGATTTTTAAGAACTATATTTAGTTGGGGCTATTGGCCAGAAAAGGCAGGCTCTTTTTCTGCAACAAGATTAGGTGTTAACATGAAAGATACACGAAAAAGACCATCAAAATGATATGTGCAATCAGTCCTTGAAATACCGTCCTGAAATGAGAGTGTGCAAGGACAAAGCGTGATTTCAAAAGCCTCAATGAGCAGTTAATTGGAGATTAAAGTCAAGGAAGTTTTGGTCTAACCAGCATTTGCAAAGATGTTACTGGAGTAAAAAAAGATCCCATTGATACCAATGAATTGTTGGAGCACAAGTAATCCAATTCCTACCTGCAGCATACCCACCAGTATCAGTATCAACATTTGGGTTCTAAGAAAACAGTAAACAGAACTTCAAACAAACCAGTCTACCATCAAAGGAAACCAATATCTTCTTCGCTTGAGATCTGCAAACTGAATGGTAGTTCTTTTGCTTGAAGATGCAACAGAGCTCTGCAAAAAGTATACCAACGAAATGGTAATTACTGTTGACACAGTGAGCAGGGTCTAAAGATGCACATGAAACACGACTCGGTTTGCAAAGTTAAAGCCTGATGGCCAAGTTGTTCCAAGTTTCCAAAAAATTGACATCAGTCCAGCTCAATACCCTGATTTCATTCACTTCATCAGTAATGTCAGTATCATATCCTCGTAAAACTTGCAAAGAGGCTTCAAAATCTTCCATCATCCCCATTTTGGCCTGCCCCAACCCCATACGCCAAGAACGAAAATGAGGATAAAGAGAGAAGTAAGCAAATTCAGAAGATGCCAAAAATAAAAAACGAAAATAAGTGTATAAACCATACCAGCCATCGAGGAGATTCGGGTATGAAAAATAAGGAAGGTATTAATATGACACAAGGCAAACATCCTGCCAATCAGAGCGTATGTTGCATTAATAAAAAATATTCATTTGCTAAACTATTTAAGTATGACTAACATTAAACATCATAGCAAAACATAATGCTATAACAAATTACTAGTTTACTTGTTCTTTACAAATGAAGTTGTATGTTGAGTACGGGCAATTCCCTCCTCTCAAGAAACAAAAAAATTTCATGGACTTCACATATGTTAGTCGTTCTTGTTCAATTATATACGCAAAAACTTGTCTATAGCATTCTGCATTCTTCACCAAAGATAAATAGGCTTAATAGAGATTTAGTAGTGACTTACCAAAAACTGCAAGCATTCTCCAATGAACAAAAAGTCCCAGTAAATAAGACAACATTATTCCGATTGTCACTGAGAGCTATTTCATAAAAAAAACAAGTTAAATCAATCATTTGGATAACTGAAACATGAATTACATCAAAACTAATAAAAAGAGTATGAATAGAATGGTTCAAAAGCACGACCAACCTGGTTAACCGATCCAAGACTTCCTCTCATGTTCTGAGGCGCTATCTCAGCTATATACACAGGTACCTGCACAAGACCAATCTCAGCAAACCAATCATTCCTTCTACATTCACAAGTAAAACAAAACAAAAAAAAAAAAAAAAAAAAAAAAAACCAACGAACTCCAAAGTTACCGTGTATGAGATTATACCGACACCAAACCCTTCCAACAACCTTCCCATGAACAAAAATGATGAATCCTACAAAACCAATAAATAAATAAATCATCTTTAATCACCTCATATAAACTAACAACATACATCACTTACTAAAAATCCAAGATTATCGTTAATTACTCACATTAGCAAAAGATATGCTTAGCCATCCAATTATATTAGGCACCGCAGCAACAATCAAAGACTGCAATGCAATACAACACAACAATGCAGCAATTCAAAGAATCAATTCACATGTCAAAAATCGAAACGATTTAGTTCTTTCAAATCATTAATTACAATCAATTGATTTTCAATAGATAAAATAGAAAAAATGATTACCCCTTTACGACCAATATATTCTGCAAGTTGGCCACTTATTATAGCACCAACCATAGCACCCACATTTGATAATGAACCAAACATCGAAAACTAAACACAATAAAACAAATAAAATCAAAGTAATCACAACAAGGTTAAACAAACAAATTTAGAAACAGAAAAAAAAGTCAAACCTCTGAAATAGAAAGATTAAGATCGCTAATGATTTCTGCTTGTGTCGGTGAAGAATAACCACACTAAACAATCAAAATAGGAAAAAAAAACTCAAAAGTTAATAAAACGTTAACATGAATTAAGAACAAACACTAATTGAGAGAGATTAATTTCCATATCGGGGCTATTACCGTGAACCCGAATTGGATGGGGCCTAAAGCGACAATGAGGACACAAAGGACAACAGAAACAGCACCATCACGGAGCATCTGAGCAGAGGAGCTCATCATGCCGGACTGCGTTGAGCTCATTTTATACCAACTCCCTGTATGGAGGAAAGGTTTCTTAAGCTGATCTCTTGCATCTTCAGTATTGTCCCTGTGACTCATGATTGCTTGATTAACAACAAAAGATACAAAATGGGATTTAGTAAAAACAAAAGATGCAAACGTGAAGATTAATGTTTGATTGTTTTAAGGTTTGGTGTTTCGTTGTTTGAAAGAAGAGAAATGGGGTTGCTGTTTTTCCTTTGGTTTGAAAGCGGTGGTGCTGACTCGAGGGGGAGTTGGATTTTGGCTTAAAATAGAAAGAGAAGGCCTGCCTGACAGATGGCGGGTTTTTTACACATTTGGCAATGTCAACAGCTTTTTGTTTTCGTTTCGTGTCCTTAGTAATCCAAACCGAGTACTATATTGTCTTTCTCTTGTTTTGCTGAAGGTTTAGAGTTTAGGATGCCGTGTGTTTAACATGGTAATAATGGAATCTTTGCTAAATTTTGGACTTAAATCATCCACTATTTTTGATAAAGTGATAAAGTCTAATCTAAGAACAATGCTAACTTTACCCAAATTTAGTTATTTTTTGAAGTATTGAATGAGTGGGCTTTACAAACGGGGTGTACTCATCTAATACACCGTAATTTTTTGAATTCTAATTTAAAATTTTCAGTCAAATTAAAAGATAATGGTATTTTGTTATACATAAACTATTCAGGTAGAATCAAATCACCATTTATTTCATTTAAAAATAAACTACTGTTCATTTATTATGGTATTTTATAAATTTAATTACTATTTGTTTCACCTAAAAACAAATAATTATGGCATTTCAAAAATTTTTGATGCGGTGAAGCATAAAAACAAAATAGAATTTATAATTGAGATAATAAAAAATTTGTTACAACACGCAAGAGTTGAGATTGCAACAACCTAGAACTCCAAATCATACTAATAACTTTAATAAAACACAAATAAATTTATGAATTCATAAATGATTGATTGATGAAACTACAATAACTCGGCCTTATATAGGTCGTTGGACAAGAGTGTATAGCTTGTTATAGAGTCCGTACAATTAAGGTAGAAAGCTATAAATATACACGACTAAGCGAGTCCTTTTTGACCTTTGTTTGATAAGGTTTTTCAACCTTTTGTACAATCGTTACATACGCTATAACAAGCTTTAATACGACTTGTTAAGAGTGCAAAACCAAGTAAAATACAAATGTAAAATATAGTGAAAGAAATATAACTAAAATATAGTTGTCCTAAGTAGCTTGTCCTACATCAGTCCCTCAACTTGTATAAAATTCGTCCTCAAGTTAAATTGTTCATTCGGCTCCTCTAGATAAAAAGTGTAATTAAAAGTCTTAGATATGCTCTTGGAATTGGGTATGTCAATTACATAAGCAATTTCTTAATTTTTTGACAATTTTGTATGATCAATTTTCTTTGGCATCGACTTGCCATGATTCTAACAGGTAATTTTCCTTACGCAAACGAGCCATCACATCATTACCTTCTTTAAAAATCTTCTTCCTTCGGTGAGCATTAATAAGATCATTATATTTGGCATTAGAAATCTCGATTTGATTGCATTGTATGAATATGATATGTCAAATGCTCGACTCGCAATCGAGTATCTAAGAATTTTGGATTGAAGAACTAGGTCCAAAGTATGATGAGGAGCTCGATCGTAAATAACCTCAAATAAGGATTTACTCGTTATACGACTCGCATATTGTTGTATGCGAGCTCGCTTGTGATGAAAAGAAATCCTTATTTGGGTTGATCACTCGCATAAGCATCGAATTATATTACCCGAGGATCGATTCACTATCTCGGTTTGTCCATTAGTTTATGCATGATAGGTAGTACTTGTATCATAAATCTATATCGAATAAACTCTAAAAAGTCCTTCAAATATGACTAACAAATTTTATGTCTCAATTTGAGGTTGATGGACTTCGGTATCCCATGTAAACAAATAACTTCTCTAAAAAGAAGGTTGGTTATATTGGTAGCATTGGCGGTCTTATGACATGGAATGAATGACACCATTTTGCTAAATCGATCTACCATTAAAAAAGCTTAATCTTGTTATTTTTATGTACGAGGTAATCCTAACATAAAATCTGTAGATATGTCCTCTCATAGACCATCCGGGATCGACAATAGCGTATATAAATTGGTGTTTTACTATTACCTCTTAGATGTTTAATATACATAACATATTTGTATAAATCTCCTAACATCTCTTTTCAATTATGACGATAATAACGATCTTCGACCAAAGCAATGGTCTTATCTCGTCCAAAATGTCTAGCTAGGTCGCTATTATATAGCCTTTTGATTATCTTTTCCCTTAGGGAGCAAACTAGTAGGCATAAACGTCCCCTAAAGAAGATATAATCATCCCGTATGAAAAATTCACTAGGTTAGTCGTTGTGATAGCGATCCCAATGTTCTCTAAAATCGGTATCAAAGACATAAAAATCTTTAAAAATATCAAACCCTTTTACTTCTATATGCAATATACTTACAAGAGCTACCTATTAGCTAATAGCATCAACCACCTTATTTTGCTCTCCAAACTTGTGCTTCAAGGTGAATGTAAATTGCTAGAGAAAAGAAATCCACCTTGAATGCATTAAGTTATGACTCGTGGATTGTCGATAAGCTTAAGAGCTTGATGATCGAATACAACATAAATTCTCTTTATACTATATAATGCTTCTAATACTTGCTTGTTTGCACTATAGCATAGAATGCAAGCTCATAGAAAGACTAGTTCCTTCTAGCTTTGTTTAGTTTCTTATTGTAGAATGCTACTTGGATGACTCTTTTATGAAAGAACAACACTTATGCCTATGATAGAAGCATCTATGTATACTTTAAAAAGTTTTTCAAAGCTTGGTAATGCTAAGATTGAAGCACTAGTCAATTTCTCTTTGATCAATTCAAAACCTTTTTCCGTTTTGTTGGTCCACACAAAAAGTTTTTTCTTTAAACAATTAGTCATAGGACTTGATATGTTATTGAAATTGCATATGAAATGTCTCTAGAATATAGCTAAGCCATGGAAATAACGTCCTCAAAAATGGTTTTGGGTGATGGCCATTCCCGGATAGCTTTAACCTTCTCATCAATTACCATAATCCTAGTATCACTCACAACATACGTAAGAAAATTCATCTTACTTGTCACGAAACCGTATTGACATAAAACTCATTCTCTTTCAAAGCAACAAAGACTTGTTGTAAATGTTTATGATGAAGCTCGGGTGTTCGGCTATAAATAAGTATATTATCGAAGTAAACGATAATAAATTTACCTATAAATGGCTTGAGGACTTGGTGGATAGCCCTTATAAAGGTGCTTGGGTACATTTGAAAGCATAAAAGGTATGACTTTCCACTCATACAATCCTTCCTTGGTTTTGAAGGTCGTCTTCCACTCTTTTCCTGGACGAATACGTATCTAGTGGTAGGCATTTTTCAAGCCTATCTTTCTAAAAATTTTAGCTCCTTCCAACATGTCAAACATATCATCCAATTGATGTATGAAAAATCTATATTTTATTGTGATTTTATTGATAACTCAACAGTCGACACACATCCGTCAATTATCATCCTTTTTTGGTGCCGGTAAGGTTGGTACAATAGAAGGACCCATACTTATCCGCACCGTTCATTTTTTGACAAGTCCTATAACTTGGCCTTATAAAATTGAATATTTTTTAGGACTCATTCGATAATATGGTAGGTTTGACAAGCTTGCTCCCGATACTAAGTCAATGGCATGTTAAATATCACACATGGGTGGTTATCTATCCGGTAACTCATTTGGGAAAAGGTCAACATACTCCTCCATAAGAGGTTGTAATGCTTTTAGTACTTTAGTAGGTAGTGGAACTTTTTTTTAGCCATCAATGCAAGCGGTTCTTAATTTTCTTTAACTTTTTCAAGTATCTTATTAATGAGTAAAAGAGACCCCCTTCGGTTTAGAAGTTTTAGGATGTTTTTTCATACTTAAGAGAACAAGAATAATCTTTTTTTAAAAAAAATCCTTATAAAAAGTGTAAAAGTTATCTTTTCCTTTATGTAATACTTGATAATCTTACCGTCAAGGTCTTCTCGGAATGATATGGCTCACATCCATATCGATGACATAAAAAATAAGCTCATTGAAATAGACTCCATCAATGGAGAATAAAATTCTACATTATGTATTCACCTTTTGTTGATGTCCATTTGAAATCCAACCAACTTGGTACGATCTTGGATGAGCTATTGTTTGTAGTTTCATTTTATCTACTATAAACTTTGCCACTACATTTTCTTCACATCCATAGTCAACGACAAAATCACATGTATTCTCCCACTTTACAAGAGGTTTAGAACATCTTGTTACATTGTGAATCCTATAAGGGTTACTTTATTGTATGTAGCACATATTGGATCACATTGAACTACTTTCCTTCATTGACATATGTGTGCTTAGCTTTCTCATTATCGGTGTTACACCATTGGATATTCTCATTATAGGTATCATCATCATATGGTTGCTCTTTCTCCATTGCCTCTTAGTTGACTATATTAAACCCTATAGTTCTTGGTTAAGGGCAAATGTTGCTTATATGCCCACTTGCTCCATATCGATAACACTTATCTTGAGTTGGATAAGAGTATGGATTAGGAGGTTGGTTCCTTTTTTCATTGGTTTTCCAAAAAGCATTTTGTTGTTGATTAGAACCTCTTTGATATGTTTGTGTAATGGAGGTTGGTGCAAAACGTTCACCTTCGACTCTAGTTGTGTGCTTAAACAATGGTTGTGTTTATTGCCCTTCGTTAGCCATTTCTTTCCCCTTATTTTGAGGTTATTTCCATGCGAAGACTCTTCCACATATGGCTTATAAGGTTGTTATTCGTGATTATAAAATCTATCACTTTGAATCTCCATCTTAATTGTAAGTCAAATGGCGTTACTAAGATTCCACACATTTTGAATGTCAATTTTGTCTTGGATATTCGATCTTAAACCCCTAATGAACCTTTACTGCCCATTGTGATTCTATTTTAGAAAGGTCATTTTGGGTAGGTAACCAAAAAAATTCATTTGAATAATCTCGTATCGAACAATTTTCTTGTCGACAATTATGGTATTGTTAATAAAAAAATTATCCTTCAATAGTTATTTCATTTTTCGTTAGGATCTTGTGTGTGTTTTTCCCATATGAACTTAATAACTTATGACATCTACTCTTGCTCCCACCAAGCCGAAGCCCCTCCTTTTAGTTTACAAGCTACTAATTTGACCTTTTTGCCTTTTAGGATCTCCATGCGATTGAAGAACCTTTCTACTTCATAACGTTAATCTAGAAACTCTTTAGTAACTCGAACATTGAAAGTAGAAAGATCCATTCTTAATTGGTACTCAAAATTGTCTCCAACATGACCTAAATTAGGTCCCTTATTATAGTTTCTCGGTTGATTATGCCATACACCTAAGTTTTCAAGGGCTTCGATCTCATCATCACCATTATCATCAAGCTCCCTTGGAACATGTCTATGAATTGATATTTTTAAATTCAACAATTGTTGATTTAGATAGTTAACTATTAGTGGGGGTGTTGATGGTAGCTTTGCCCAATCACGATGACCATTATTGATAGGTGTAGCGATCCGTAACTCAACTCGTAACACTTCAAACAAGGTTTGCAAGCATTGAAGAACTCATAGAGTCATTCTCTCGTAGGTTTATCATGGTTTTCATGTCCTTAGAGGTTAGTTCTTCATGGTTAGCCATCTCTTTATTGCACGTAGTGACTTTTTGTAGAGGAAATCCCTGTTTTGATACCATGTGATGTGGCAAAACACACAAACAATATAGAATTTAGGATTGAAGCAATCCAAAATCTGTTACAACACATAAGAGTTAAGGTTGCAACAATTTAGAACTCTAAAACACTTTAATAACTTTGATAAACCACAAATAAATTTCATTCATAGATGATTGATTGATGAAACTACAATAATACAACCTTATATAGGTTACTAGAAGTGAGTGTACAACTTGTTATAGTGGTTGTACAGCTAAGGTAGAAAGATGTAAAGAAACACAATTGGGCAATTTCATTCAACCTTTGTTTGATAAGGTTTTTCAATCTCTTGTACAACTATTACAATACAACTTGTTAAGAGTGCAAAACTAGTGGAATACAATTGTAAAATATAGTGAAAGAAATGCAACTAAAATACGGATGTCTTAAGTAGCATGCCCTGCATCAATTTTGGAGATTTTTATTAGATGGTTTTTTTAAAAGTTTTATTTTAGTTTAGGAGGTCTTATTTGTTAGGATTTTGAAAGTTTTGGATTGGTTTGAAGGATTTTTATTTGTTTTTATAGTTTGTTTACTTTTCAATCTTTCTTTTTCGTAAATTTATGTTTAACTCATGATATTTTATTTGATTTAATTTGCATTTTGATTTTTGATAATTAAGAGAGGAGATATAATGGTTTTTTTTACCACGAAAATTGCTGTCGTTGACATACATGTGTTCAGGTTGGCTAGGAGAGTTAGTTGACGATGGTGGCAAGTTCCCAGTTCCAACACTAACCTTGGAGGAAGACGCATGATCCACTTAGCAGTGTTTTTTTTTAATTACTGAAGGGCCAAGCACGGCAGCCTCTTCTACCAAGCTCAAGCGGCGGATGGGCTTGGCTTTCGGTCATCCCATTTTTTTTTTCTATTTTTGAAATTCTAAATTTGATTTCTCTTCAAATAAAATAATTAAACAAATATTAAAAAAAAAACATATTGCTACCATAACTTTCAAATAATACTAGAGTATTTTGATATTAATTTATACATATTTATGAAAAATATTTTTTTCATTTTAATTCATTATTTTTTATGAAATACTAAATTAAGAGGCTAAAAACTCGAAATAAGCTCATTTAAGAACATTTATATTATGCAACATATATATATAGTTAATTTTTTTTAGGTATATTATCATATATTTAAATTTCTTGATGATGGCCACCTATTGTATAATAATTTAATTATTTGACCATTACATAAAATTTTTATTTTAATATATTGAGCTTAATATTCTTTTTTTATTTTGAATTTAATAAAATTAAATATTAGAAACATAAATAAATATATTCTTAATTACAAGCGAAACAACACTTGTTATAAAATGACAGGCATTTGACAATTGTTATTTTTACGGTAGAAATATATTAAATAAATAAATTTTGAAAAATATATTACAAATTAAGAAATAAATTTTTTAACCTGTTTTATAATCCATGTGGAAAAACAAAACCTCAAAAGTCCATGGATTCTATAACATATATGATTTATCAATTTATTGGCTCTCAATTGATTTTTACTTTTTTTCTATTTGTTTTTTTAAAATATTATAAAATTAATTAATTTCAATAAAATGATTAAAATAATATTTTTAAAAACTCAATGATACCATATTTTTCAAATAAGATGAAAGATTTTTTGCTATTAGAAGAGTAAACAATAAATCAGCTTTTCTTATTAAAAAATAAAATAAAATTATTCAGTCAAAGCAACTTAGTCTACCTCAACTATAATTTTTAAAATAGTCCAAATAATATCAATTGAAAAACAATTTTCTTAATCCAATTTCAATGGCCAAGCAAATCAACTTAGCCTCCAAGAATCAAAGAAGCCAGCAGTGGTCAACGTTCCCCTCCTCAAAAACCCCTTGGACATGAACATCTCTCCGCTTTAACACAGGCCGCCGCGGCCGCCGCCGCCACCACCATTGCCTCCACCTCCCAAAACAACACCGCCAACTGTCAAATGGGCAAACCCATAACCCGATCCCACTCTCTACCCCTCCACAAACCCTCTTCTCCTTCACCATCCATCACCACCACCACCTCCTCCTCCTCCAAAATCTCATTTCAATCTAGAAAAATCAGAAAACTTTCCACCAACAAAACAACCAGCATCGCCACCTTAACCTCCGATTCCATCTCCCCTATCAAACCTTTATCTCACAAAGGCGAAATAGAACTGGCACTTGACCATTTAACCAAATCAGATCCTCTTCTTGCACCTCTATTAAACAGCCATGAACCACCAGCACTGAATCCCTGTACCTCACCGTTTCTTTCTTTAACAAAATCCATTCTTTTTCAACAACTAGCAACGAACGCAGCCAAATCAATCTACACACGTTTTCTCACTCTCTGTGGTGGAGAATCTCAAGTAAACCCAGATAATGTACTCTCATTAACTGCCCCAAAACTCAGAGAGATCGGGGTTTCGGGTCGAAAAGCGAGTTATTTACATGACTTAGCAGAGAAATATCGAAATGGGTCTTTATCTGACACTTCAATTCTTGAAATGAATGATGATATGTTATTGAATAGGTTGACTGAAGTTAAGGGAATTGGGGTTTGGTCTGTGCATATGTTTATGCTTTTTTCATTGCATAGACCGGATATTTTGCCTGTTGGTGATCTTGGTGTGAGAAAAGGAGTGCAAAATTTGTACGGATTGAAGGATTTGCCACAGGCATTGGAGATGGAGCAGATTTGTGAGAAATGGAAGCCTTATAGGTCAGTTGGGTCTTGGTATATGTGGAGGTTAATGGAAGCTAAGGCTTTGGCGAATAAAGCAGCTAAAAAAGCATAGCATGAGTTGGTGTTTGGGGGTCTTGGTAATGGGGCTTTGAAGCTCAGATATTGTTGTTGTATGCTCTAAATTAGGCCTGAATTTTCATTCAATGTGTTGGATGCTCTAGAGTTGATGTTTCAAAGCTTCAATTTGTACAATAATATGTATGCAATCAGTGGCTTGTCTCTGCTTAATCAATGAAAAATTGCGAATTTCTGCTATTGGCATTGTTGCTTTAAACTATCTGAATTCCATGTTTAGCTTTTTCATAATAGGTGAATTTGTACTTCGTATGATGAATATTGATTAAAAAATGGAAGAATTCTGTCTGTGTGATCATCATGGAGACTGCATTTTCTTGCCTGGGATTGTTGAACCAAATGAAGCAAGACCTGAAGCTTGAAATTTAACATTTAAGTGTAAACACAAGCATTGCTGTGGTTGAAGCTTAGTATATGGTGGAGTTTTGTCCTGTGCCCATGTATAATCATTACTTGAGTATCCTTGGAGTCACACAATTGGTTTTAGACCAAAGGGTTAGCTTGCTTATTTACCCCCATTATGATCTCCTCTTTTCTTCAGACTTAATATTTGAGTTTCTTTCGAAGTTTGGGTATGGTCTTTGTGTAATTTGGATGAGGAAAAGTACCATGCTTGAAGCATTAGATCAATTTATGAGTCGTTAATTGAATAAAAGAAATCACAAGTACTTTAGGACAATCTTTGATATTACTATAGTTCATAGTTGGGTTAAAGTTAAACTCATTCTGTCGGGCTATGTTGTTGGAATCATGTGAGACTTTGTGCTGGGGATATAGATGTTCTTGGGTGGAGATTTTTTATCCATTGCTTAAGAATTTTACTTTTGTTAAGACCAGTCTATTTGACAGTTGAAACCACCTTAAACTATGCTAAGATCAGCATTGCGCGATGTAACTTCATGAAGTCTTAGAATAATTTCTTAGAATAAAATTTTTTTCATAGTTCTGTCACTGAATTAGACCAACTCGGTGATCGATTTGCCAAGCAAAGGAGTTCATAGAGATTTTGATTTTATGGATCGGCTTCTTTTCCTATCATTTTGCATTACTTGTGTCTTAGATGCAGGGGGTGGAACCAGAAATTTAGGAACCGGAGAGGGGAGGCGAATGAGAAAATAATGATTTTTGGGAATGCAAAAGATGTGAAAGTGAAGGATATAATTAAAAACTTTCAAAATTTTAAGAATAAAATGTAAAATTTTCTAAAATTTGCGGGTGTCATGGTTTCGCCCCTGCTCGGATGGTGTATTACTGTTGGTGAATTTTCGAAAGAAATTAAAAAAAAATTATTTCTTAAACATTTTTTAAAACTTAGTGGCTCGGATATTTCAATTTTATTTATTTCTTAACCATCTTTGAAAATTGTATTCTTTCCAAAAAAAAAAAAAAATTATTTGAACTCATTAACATTTTCATCAACATAATTTGAAAAATACAAGAAGTCAATTAACATAATTCGAAAAATACAAAGATCAAATCATTGTTTTTTTTTTTTCGTTTCTAATTTTTATGTTATTGTCTTTTTTTTAAAAAAAAATCTCATCCTAAATGCATAACATGTTTCATACCAATAGCAGACTTCAAATAAATCATATATTAACTCTCTTTCTCTAAAAATATGGAAGAAAGGAGACCGTCCACCAATATCTAACATAAAAAAGCCAAGTCATAACAGATGAATGGTAAGCTTTTCTCCATTAATGTCATAGCCAAAATTATAATTTTGTTGATCCATTACTCCAAGAATGTTCAATCCATTGAGTTCTTGGATAGGCAAACATTTACATAGGTATAAGTTACGTAAATTATTATGTAATTTAGTAAGTTGTAGTTCGTATCTAAATTTATTTAACCTAATAAATAAGGAAAGAGAGATTAAAATAAACCCTAATAATTTCGTTCCTAAGTAAACATACCTCTTTTGAATTAATATTTCCATTTATACATAATTTTAATTTAATGATGGAAAAAAATTAATCACTATCATGCTCCAAATTTCTCATTTTTCGTATGATATAATTATTACTTAGAGAGAATATTATATATCAAGCTACCATTAGGAAAGCTATAGGGAGGGAAAAAAAGAGTAAGGATCTAATTATAGGTCTCTAGACCTCACTTGCTAGTTGCTAAAATGGATGATAGGTCTGGTTTTTCTTCTCTAGACGAGCCTAAGAATAAATATTGGTAATTGCTCTCGAAACTCTATACGTTTTTTAGTAAAAAGCTTGGATTATCAATATTGGTAATGACTAAACAAAATGATAATGTTGGCTATGACATTAATGAAGAAAAACTTACCATTCAAAGGATAGATTGTCAGCTTCTTGAGAAGATATATTGAGAATATCTATTTATCAAGTACTTTATATTTTCATATTTTCAGTACTTATATGAACACCTTTCAAAATTTTCTCACCTTTGGACTGCAAGAAGGCAAAATGTACATTTGAATTGCTCAAAATGTGCTTACTACAATCTTCTATGGTTTCACTCTTGTTGTAGAATGAAAAAAAAAAAAAAAAAAAGAATTCTGGATGAATCACTTTAGTAACAATCTTTCGAGTTTGGTTATTTGGGGTTGAGAAGAGGGTTATAGAGATTTTCATTGTTTAGAAAACAAATTATTGCAATGCTAAGGAAATTGTAAAGGCAGTGGCTCTCATGTGGTGAAAGAAGGTGATGACTTATATGTTGATATTTTGTTTGCAATGGTAATGCACAAAATAGATGAAGAAATTTATAGGATTATTTAGGATTCTTACAATAGAAAATTAAAACATGTATTAAAAATCAACAATTAAATAAAGAGTTGGAGATTCCACGTAAAAACACCAATTTAAAATGACAAATTGAAGACACATTACCAAAAGAACATATTTTAAAAAATATACAAAAACACGAATATGGGAACGGGAGATTTTATCACATGAAATTGGTTGAAAGTTGGAAGACAAACTCATTAGATCTTATGAATAAATTTATTTGGGGAAAATATTCATGAAAGTAAGGGTATGGTAATTGTCATAATGAAAAACTAAAATCAGGAAAATAAAGTTGAATTACTCTCGATTTACATCAATGAAAAATTTTAGGACATATTTTAAATAATTATTTAAGTTAAGGGATTCTTTTATATCAATTTTGTTTTCTATTTTCTTTCACGATGGGTTTTGCTTTTTGAAATTTTTTTTATTGAAATTTTATACTCTTTATTTTTATTTTTTTCTCCATTATAATACTGTTAATGATGTGACACATCTATTTTTTAATATATGACGCATGTCATATGTAGAATCTTAATATAAAAATTCAGTTAAAATAATTCAAAGAATACATGAAGTCAATCAATATAATTTGAAGAGTACAAATACCAAATTATTGTTATTTTTTACTTTTCTGTTATTTTTTTTTCTAGATCTCATCCTAAATGCACAACATGTATCATATGTGAGACCTATTCTACTAAAATTAAGAATTTTTTAATAAAAAGCTATTATAATAATTAAAATAATTATAAAAACAAAAAAAGATGAACCTAGCATGGAATTATTGAAACAAAAATATAGTGATGTGCAATATTGATTAGTTATAGATTTTTAGTTAATGGGCTAATCATCAACAAAAAGTATTATTCCTTGTTAATGGGTCTAATCTTTCACAAAAAGTAAAAAATTTCGAATATTTGATTAATTCAAAGTAAAAAATAGGATTGCTCCCTCAACAATTTGAAAATATTTAATTAATTTAAAAAATTAATTTTTTAGGAAAAATTACAATTTTCAAAGCTGGTTAAGAAATAAATAAAATTGAAATATATCATCCACTAATTAAGTTTTAAAAAATGTTTCAAATTCACCAACAGTAATACACCCACCCGAGCAAGGGCGAAACCATGTTGAAGGGTAGGGGTCGTAGCACCCCGAAAATTTAGAAAATTTTACACTTGATGCTTAAAAGTTTGAAAAATTTTTATTACATCCTTCAATTTCACATGTTTTGCATTCCCAAAAGCCATTATTTTCTCACGTCTCCCCTAGAATCCAAATATAACCTAGGCAGCCTGTCGGTAAGACTAACTATCAAGTGAAAAAGAAGCAATTAATGCTTGGGATTAATGAGGACGGAAGCTATCTCCAATCTTTTTTTTTTTTTTTTTTGATAGTGCTCCTGATAAACTTTTTCAATTGAGTGGTTAGTTGTCTAGTTCATATTATGGTATTTTTTTACCTTAAAAGTATTATATTTTGACAAGTTCGGATCCAAAATATGAAATTACGTAATTTAAATCTTAAAATATTAAAGATTGGATAAATTTATTTCAAATTGCTCAATTCTCACTATTTCTATCCGTCTATTGTGAGTTGACCATTGTTTTTTTTTTTAAATCATAATTTATGTATGTTCCTCTTCTTCTTCTTATTTTTTTAATTTGAATAAAATTACAATATAAAATTACGTAATTTAAATTTTAAAGTATTGGCAATTGGATAAATTTGATTCAAATTGTTCAATCTTAGTTATTTTTAACGATTAACTGTTAGTTGATCGTTATTTTTTTCAAAAAAATCACAATTTATGTATGTTTCTTTTCTTCTTCTTTTTTGTTTTCTTTTTAAATTTGAATAATAAAAAATTAGAAAGAGAATAGATGTCTTTTAACGATGAGATCATCCAGTTGGTGTTTTACCTATACTTTATTTAAAATGTAGTTGGTGAAGTTTGGGCCTTTGTTCCGGTAAAAGGAGCTCGACAACCAGAAAGCCTTTTACAACTAAAGCTTGCTTGAGGTCCTTTATGCTGACTTGAAGGCTGAAGCCCATATTGTCAGAAAAGGTGTTTGCTTTTCTCTCTCTCTAAGAAAATAACTTAGCCAACGATGGTGATTTTCACATCAAATCATCTACGCCAACTTTTTTATATTTCTTTTTCTTTCTCTTCCTTTTTTCCATTATTAAATTCAGATTCCGTTTTTTA